ATGTTTCTCGGCTGGCCTGGGAACGCCTTGGGGGTCCTCCTGAGGGGCTAGAAGAAGTGGCTGGGGAGAGGGAAGTCTGGGCCTCCCGTCTTAAGCTGCTGCCCCCGACCCCGGATAAGCGGAGGAAGATGGATGGATGGATAGATGTCATCTCTACTGTTGACAGGCTGCAGCCATTTCTTGAATTCCTTGTTTTCGAGCTACCACTTTAGTTGTAATTTGCATTTCTCTAGCTCTTTTTCCACCTCGCCTCGAGCTTCTTTTCCGAACATACGACTTTATGATCAACCAGAAGCAGTTTCCCGCAAATATATTGCGATGTATCCGATGAAAAATTGTTTTCATTAACATTTTTAATTATTTTTTATAAAGCATTTTAAATGCCACAATAATCACATTTAATGAATTCTAATGCCAATTAAGGTCTTCATTTAAAAAAAATAATCTAATGACTTTCAATGATTTTTAATGACCCGCTGAAATCCCTGTTTTTTTACTCCGACTCCACCCTTCACTGAATTACAGGGTCTGACCAGGAGATGAAGCTTCTCTTTAGATCTTAATGTCCACAAATCATGACAGAAAGAATATTTTAGTATAAAGATTGATGTTTATGAAGGAATTGTAGGAAGGTTCATCAAGGATATTTTATCCTGTGCGGGCAGTGCTTTTATTTTATTTTATTTACTTTATTTTATCTTTTTGTGCAGCACTTTGGAAACCTTGTGTTTATTTAAACCGTGCTATATAAATAAAGTGGATTTGATTGGATTGAAGGAAAGTTGGGACATTTTGAATGCCTACTACAGTAGTCGGGCTCTGGGAAGTTAATAAGAAAGTTTCTGATTTTCTTCTCAAGGAAATTGACAATTTTGTAAAAGTTTACTAGAAAATGTGAGCTGGATGAGTTGAGATATGCTTTCATGGACCAACAGTTAGAGGTTGCACTTATATCCTTTCCAAAGACCCTCCCTCACTAGCATGAGCTCAAACTTGCTGGTAGACGGCTGCGTTGACCCTGGATCTCAGAA